TTTGAGAGTGCTCGGAGTCAATTGGATAAAGGAAGACGTCAATAGAATCAAATTTAGTCAAAAGATGATCACAAATCAATTTCCAACCGAAAAGTTATGCTCCGATGTTTTAGTCTCATATTGAAACCTATTTGTGGCATAGAAAGTGATTGAATTGGAGAATTATGTCGAATCAAAGTTGTAGCCAGATGAGTTAGCTTTCCAACGCATTTTGAATCGCCTCAATCGGATATCGAAATACAAAGTTATGATAAAAACACTAAAAGAAGGTGCAGTTACCCGTTTAAAACAAGAAATTCCGTTACATAGTCCGTTAAAACAACAAATTTCGTTAGTTTTTCCGTTAAAAATAAGAAATTCCGTTACATAGCCACTTTTAATATATAGAAAATATAAATCGGGGATTACTTGTTCGAGAGAGAGAATGACTACATGATCTAATATGGACTTTGGATTATAGTCGTGAATACATGGTCGTGAGTAATATGGACATTGTTGCCTCGAAGCACAAGGACAAAGTCAAGTCTAAGGATGAGCAAGGACTTTTACCCGGACCTTAGCTTCGACTTTATTTTTGAGGACGACGAAGAGTCAATTGATGAGCAACAAGATCCTCCTGCAGACTTCAACTGATTTTTTTTTTATTTTTTATTTTTTTTTCTTCTATTTGGTCCGGCCAAGGCACCAAATGTACCTACTAATTAATAGAGTTAGTAGGTTCGTTGGACACCAATTATTCATACTTAGCTCCGGTTTGAGTTAGCTAAAACGTATGATAAAATTTTAAATTAAAGTCAATAATTAATTTTAAACACACATTTCATATAAATCACAACTTTTATTAACTTTTCAACTATGTATTTCATCAATTTTTTACAAAATTTACTAAAAATATGATTTTTAGATAAACCAAACGGAGGCTTAATAAGTTAGTATGTTCATTGATAGTTGATCTGGTCAAAGCACCAACTGAAACTACTTAATAAAAGAATTAGTAGGTTCATTAGCAATGGCATTTTGTCGCACCAATTGCACCTACTTAGAGTTAAAAGGTTCACTGTCAATCGGTAAAGACACCAATTAGACCTACTTGTTATAGAGTTAGGATGTTCGTTGGCAATTGGTCATATCGATGAACTAATTGTGCCAACTTATTAATAATGTTCGGTGATTTGATCAATTTGCAAGTAGATGTTGGCGGTCCAAAAGAAAAAATGCTTCACTAAGATTCATGAACCGATTACATTTAGAGACTACACGGTGGAGCGTACTTCGTCTTGATTGAACTAATAAAGGAAACTCTTCATCGTATGTCCTATTTTACATGGCAGAATGTACCTTGCTTTAATTGAAAGAACAAAAAATTAACTTCCTCTTTATAAAGCTTACTAGTAGTACCTCCATTGATGTTTTTGTGTTCCAAGTGTGTTTCAAGGGTTCCCCTTCTGCATCTGCAAGCTTATATATTTCGGGCTGCAGTTGCTACAGAGCTATTAAGTGGGTGTCACCATCCCCTTAATTTCATTTTTCGTTTAGCATACCATCTATCACCATCTAAATTAGAGTTATAATCTCAATGAAGCTGCATAGCATTACTCAAATGTAAGACATTATGTGACTTGACGTGGTAATAAATGCTAACTAGGTTCAGAACCACCATGAAAATAAACATTTTTTGTTTTTATGTTTTGTTTAGAATGAGTTAATCTCACCTGAGAAGCATAAAAATTCAAGACATGTTCATATGATATAAATCGGGGATTACTTGTTCGAGAGAGATAATGACTACATTATCTAAACGAATCAAACAAATTCAATGAACAGGCTATTTTAAAGTTACCAAAAACTTCAATTACTTCTTGATAAGAAAAATATATGAATTGAAAAATAAGTGATTGGAGAGTTTGAAAATAGTTATAATTCTCCATTTATACATATTTACTGAGAAATATGATTTTTTTCTCGAGGCTCCATCTATTGAGTATCAAAAATGCTACTTGTACATCACAATTTGTACATAAGGAACTACATCCATCTCACATGGGGTTTGGGACCCATTGCATAAATTATTTTTTAATCTAAGCGGGTCTTACCCTTATGTGAGGGGGGTGTACACCCCGATGTACAATGTGATGTACAAGTAGCAAGGCCGATTGAGTATACCCTTACAGCTTAAGACTTCATTTATCCCTTCGAAGATGATCCTTCCTTATTTTGCAAATCTTGCGGACCTCAGCATTTTTTTCCCCTATTTGTGCAATATAATTTAATTTCACTTGTTAATGTAGTTTTGTTGTTTCGTGTTTTTGGATTTTGCTCATGAACCCTTGTTTCACTTGCTTGCTTACAATCAAAATTCCGTATGTTCATTAGCAATTGGTCTGGTCAAGGCACCAAATGTACCTACTAATTAATAGAGTTAGTAGGTTCGTTGGATACCAATTATTCATACTTAGCTCTGGTTTGAGTTAGCTAAAACGTCTGATAAAAATTTAAATCAAAGTCAATAATTAATTTTAAACACACATTTCATATAAATCACAACTTTTATTAACTTTTCAACTATGTATTTCATCAATTTTTTTACAAAATTTACTAAAAATATGATATTTAGATAAACCAAACGGAGGCTTAATAAGTTAGTATGTTCATTGATAGTTGATCTGGTCAAAGCACCAACTGAAACTACTTAATAAAAGAATTTGTAGGTTCATTAGCAATGGCATTTTGTCGCACCAATTGCACCTACTTAGAGTTAAAAGGTTCACTGGCAAGTAGTTCGGTAAAGACACCAATTAGACCTACTTGTTATAGAGTTAGGATGTTCATTGGCAATTGGTCATATCGATGAACTAATTGTGCCTACTTATTAATAATGTTCGGTGATTTGATCGATTTCCAAGTAGATGTTGGCGGTCGAAAAGAAAAAATGCTTCACTAAGATTCATGAACCGATTACATTTAGAGACTACACGGTGTAGTGTACTTCGTCTTGATTGAACTAATAAAGGAAACTCTTCATCGTATGTCCTATTTTACATGGCAGAATGTACCTTGCTTTAATTGAAAGAACAAAAAATTAACTTCCTCTTTATAAAGCTTACTAGTAGTACCTCCATTGATGTTTTTGTGTTCCAAGTGTGTTTCAAGGGTTCCCCTTCTGCATCTACAAGCTTATATATTTCGGGCTGCAGTTGCTACAGAGCTATTAATCAATCAATCAAGTATAATGTGTACAACTTGACCAAGGTGAGGCTTGTGGCAAATGCCCCTCACCTTGGATATATGCTGCAGCAGAGAGGTGGTGACCCATCTGGAACAATAATATTATTGACGAGACGTCCAAAGACATGGTCTAATTGTCTAAGAAGATGCGTAAGAGGCAGTGCAAAGTGGAATGTTGACCTTGCGTGACATTTTGTTTAGCTAGCTGTCATATGATTAGCCTATTAGGCAGAGGAACAATAGTTGTACAATAAGTCTCCAATGACCAAAATGAGTTCAAATACAGGATTCAACAATTTACATCTTTTAGCACGGACAAAAATACAAGGTTGATGACAAACTTACGGGCTGCAGTTGCTACAGAGCTATCAATCAATCAAGTATAATGTGTACAACTTGACCAAGGTGAGGCTTGTGGCAAATGCCCCTCACCTTGGATATATGCTGCAGCAGAGAGGTGGTGACTCATCTCGAACAATAATATTATTGACGAGACGTCCAAAGACATGATCTAATTGTCTAAGAAGATGCGTAAGAGGCAGTGCAAAGTGGAATGTTGACCTTGCGTGACATTTTGTTTAGCTAGCTGTCATATGATTAGCCTATGAGGTAGAGGAACAATAGTTGTACAATAAGTCTCCAATGACCAAAATGAGTTCAAATACAGGGGATTCAACAATTTACATCTTTTAGCACAGACAAAATACAAGGTTGATGACAAACTTAGCAGAGGAACAATAGTTGTACTATAAGTCTCCAATGACCAAAATGAGTTCAATTTCAGGATTCAACTATTTACTTCTTTTAGCACGGACTAAAATACAAGGTTGTTGACAAACTTGTACCTTTTCAGAGATTGGGATCGATTTAGGTACTAAGGCAATAGCTCTATGACTAATGGTGCAATTTTCCCTAAATAATTTCAAATCCTCCTGTCTTCAACCCCAAAAACTCCAGCCATATGCTTCACGTTCCCCCAAAAACCCTCTCAAAAGCCACAAACCATACACCCCCCCACCCCCCCACCCTTCGAAAATCAAGCTTGTATCTATGTATTCACATATACACATGTACAAATACTTATATGCAAACGCTTGTATCTGTAGTTTGTGGTTGTGAAATGCACCAGAGTGATGCAGAAGCTGCTCCGCAGAAGCTCATCTGGCCCCCCAATTCTATCCGTTAATTCTTCCCTCTCTCTACCCTGCTGTATCACTCAAGGGTTTTACAAAACCCGAAACAGTGTTAAAATGCCTTCATCCGCCGCTTCCCTCCACCACCCCCTCTACCACCGTCCTGAAAACCCCATATCCATCGTAGCGGCCAAGAACCTCAAGTTTATGAAACTGGCAAACAATCATCGTATGTGCAGGTGTGTTGATGAAAATGATAGTTGTATTAAAGGGGAGAGTAATGCAGTTCCATCGAGGGCTTGGGTTTTGTCGAAGGAGAGTAGGTATAGTAATAAGAGTGGGTCGCGTGCTCTATGGTTTAGGACGCTGGCCGGGAACTCGGAGAAGGGCGGTGAGTTTGCGGTCACAGAGGCAAAGGGAGTGGACAATTTGGAGAACGGAAAAGGCGTGGAGGAGAGGCAAGTTAGAGTGCTGAGAAGGCAGAGGATTAGTGGTGGAGTTGGAGACGGGCTGGTAGTTGGGGCCCCGGACTTGCTGACAATACCTGGAGTGGGACCGAGGAATTTAAGGAAGCTGGTAGAGAAGGGTTTTGATGGTGTTGATCAGCTTAAACAGCTCTATAAAGATAAGGTATAACTATGTACTCTTTAATATACTTTTGTATTTGATGCTGGCTTGTATATGGACAAATATCTGCATATATGGGTGCGTTTTGAGTTGCTGCTATGAGAGGAAACGTATGCATTTGTGTTTCATTGGATGTATGGGTACGTATTATCTATGTATATTGCATCCTCTTAAGATTCAAACCTTATTTTTGTATGCGGAGTTAGATAATAGTTGTAATGCACATACATAGTTTTATTTTACTGACATGTAAAAGAAAGGGAAAATTGAGAGGAGTTTTAATTATTGCTGGAGTTTGTGTTGATGACTTGACGACCATAAATGGTTGCTGTGTCGTTATTACATTTTGTGGGCAGGCCTTGATTTCTTTCATGCGCTCTCCCCATTGATGTTTTTCATTGGACTGCTAGTACTTGCTTTGATTTGCAAGTCTTAATGCTAGGCGATGTGTCATAGCTTAGCAGCTTTTTATCTCTATTTTGTAGTTTTTAATTAAAATGTAGGTGGAAGTGCTTGGCTTAAGAGATAAATTGATCAAACTTGATTTTCAGCCACGCAATCCAATAGACTCACAAGTAGTATCCATTTATCCAACAATATATTTATAAATTCTTTCCAAATTGAGGCTTAGTCTCCTCAGAGGGTTATATCAATGGATATGTACAATATACACAACTATACACATCGTGTAGCCATTTTATGATGAGTTTGTATTTGCTTGCTGCAGTTTTTTGGGAAATCCAGTCAGAAAATGGTTGAATTTCTACAAAGTTCGGTTGGAATCATACATAGAAACCATGCAGAAAGCATAACTACGTTCATCAAAGAGACCGTGGATAAAGAGCTGAAGGAGAATTCAGATTCTGATATTAAGCCTTCCCATAAGAAGAGACTCACATTCTGTGTTGAAGGAAATATCAGTGTTGGGAAGACCACGTTCTTGCAGAGAATAGCCAATGAAACACTGGAGCTTAGAGATCTTGTGGAGATTGTTCCTGAACCCGTTGACAAGTGGCAGAATGTGGGTCCAGACCACTTTAACATATTAGATGCATTTTATGCTGAGCCAGAGAGATATGCCTATACCTTCCAAAACTATGTGTTTGTTACAAGAGTTATGCAGGAGAGGGAGTCATCTGGTGGTATTAAGCCACTCAGACTTATGGAAAGGAGTGTTTTCAGTGATAGGATGGTATGTCCTACTCACTATACTTTCTAACCATATCTAGCCCCCGTTTGGTCCCCATTATCTAGAACTTTTTTTCCCCAAACTCATTTCAACACACGTACTCCCAATAAAATAATTTTACAAATGGATATAACTTTTCTTTATTTTTTAATCACACATTCTTTAAAAAACTCACTTTTCTGTTATGAAAAAATCTTACCAAACAAGGGCCTAATGTATTTTTCAACTTCAGAAAGTATGTCATAACATCTTTGAAGTTCTGCATTTTGTTTATTATGGTAATTATATCAGAAACTTTTGATAATAATTTCAATATCAGAACATTACTATTATGATAATGTTCAAAATATATTGGTAGAAATCTGGTACTTAACATTTATTACCTTTTCTCTTTTGCCAATATTATAAGAGAGAAGACATGCAAACATGGTTACTGGATTTATGCAGCTGATTAATTTTGTCATTCTTGTATGATGAAGGTCTTTGTGAGAGCTGTTCATGAGGCAAAATGGATGAATGAGATGGAGATCAGCATTTATGACTCATGGTTTGATCCGGTTGTTTCAAGTTTGCCTGGTCTTATTCCTGACGGTTTTATCTACCTAAGAGCAAGCCCTGATACTTGCCACAAGCGTATGATGCTGCGTCAGAGAGCAGAGGAAGGTGGAGTCTCTCTAGAATATCTGCAGGATTTGCATGAGAAGCATGAAAGTTGGCTTTTCCCGTTCCAAAGTGGAAATCATGGGGTTTTATCTGTCAGCAAGCTACCACAGGATGCTGACTGGTCTTTGCATCCACATATAAGGGACCGTGTTTATTATTTGGATGGCGATCATATGCACTCAAGCATCCAAAAGGTATTATGTTAATCTGTCAAATTCTTTTTGAAGTGACCAGTGTGATACGCAAACCTTTTGACTTGCCTCTGTTTTGTAATGAGCAGGTTCCTGCCTTGGTTCTCGACTGTGAGCCAGACATTGATTTTAGCAGAGATATGGAAGCTAAGCAGCAGTATGTCAACTTCCCCTGTTCTAAATTTTTTGTTTTATTTTACTGATATGGTAAGAAGTCCTATTTACAAAATAGCGTGCTGTTCTTGGATTTGGCGTTCTTTAGTCTTATAATATGCTCTTCTTATATGTGGACAAACATGTGAATTTCTTGAATGGGCTTTTTTTATTTTTGTTTTTATTTTTTATGAGTCAAGTGTATGAAGCTTACATTAGTGAAATTGGCTATATGACAAAATATTCTTGATGATTTTGGAGTGAATTCTGAGCCTCTCATGTACTAGTTGGTGTAACATTAAAATCATACTATTTTCTTCACCTGCAGTGGAGATCAACAGTTGTTGCGGAACCTTAAATTTTTGCTTATGCTGACCTATTACAAAGTGACAACTCTAAGATTCAATTTAAAAATGCTTCGGAATCTTTTTCCACATTTTTTTTGTTTTTTCATTCTCTTTACTTTTTGGAACTTGAAATGTTTTCAATATGCATCTCTCTTAAGAGCAGTAATTTTGTTTTTTGAACACGATGACTGCTAGTCCAGACACGTTAGAAAGAGACATCTAGTTTAACATATATTTTGATTTTGAAGCTTCTTTGGAAAGTAATTAGTTTTCTCCCGTATGTTTCCTTACTGATTTCTCATTACTTGATTTAGTGTTTTATGTTTTTTAACATCTTAAAGGGGATATCTAATCAGTTTGGCATTCTTTCACTTGTGAAGATATGCTCGCCAAGTTGCAGAGTTCTTTGAATTTGTGAAGAAAAAGAAAGAAGTCACTTCGTCAAAAGCTGGAGAGAACCCAGCAATCAGCAATCAACCACAGGTATTTATGCCTCATCGAGGATTATTGATGCCGGGTACTCAGCATTTCCCAGAATCACCTCTCAAATCTTTGGATTTTCGACGAGCCATGTCATATTTCTCTCAGTAGTCGAACTTTGATCTGATCTTTAACAATCTGTTGAGATTTCTGAATCTGATGTGTGCAAAATGTTGTGTAATTCCTCTGATGTATAAAGATGTTAATGTGTTTATCAAACTTTGTAGATTTAGTGCTAGGTGTAACTGTTGCATAACACGCTGTTTAGGGTAATCTTTGTTTGTTTGAAGGTTCAGGAGTTTCTTAATTTGATATCTTTGTACAGTTTGTTTTCAGGGGTTCTGTGGTATTACATCTACCACAAAATATGTTACTTTTTCAAAGTAAAGGTAACCTATCCAAATGTGTTTATAAGCGAAGATTTACGTAACAGTTACTTCTGCTTAATTTCAAGCTTTGCTTATCAAACCTGCAATCTTTATTAGCAAAGTGGGTTACTTTAATCTGAAACTAAGCCTTTGTTTAGTGGGGATTAAAATCAAATTTTTAGTAGATTTTTTATTGAATTTGAAGAAATGTGTGGTGGAAAAGTTGTGGTTGTCATGAAATATATAATTAAAATTAGAATTTTAATCTATATCAATTTTGGGCTTAAATTTCATTTCTGGTCATCAAATGTTGGCAGAGTTGCAACTCAAGGAAGAGGATACCAGCATCATATGTTATTGAGTTCTAGGTTCCTGATTCACAGTTTTATATATATTTGACCGTTAAAATGTTAGATTTATTGTTTGTACGGTTTTTTCTTTATCTGTTAGAACAAAAATTAAAATTTATTATTTTATCTGGTTTTTTTAAAAATAATAATAATAAAATAAAATACAAACAAACTAGGTAGAAATTAGGGAAAGTGTTGTTGGGTTGTAGTTAGTCACAAGGAAGATTAGTTGGTCAGTTCTTAGGGAACATAACATTTGATCATACAATTTTCATGTCTATGGTCTCCTCCTTTTCTTGCATTTCCAGTTAATTCAGTTGCAACATGTATTTTATACTAATTGGTACGCAGACCTAAATGAATTGGAAACACATGTCAATAATAATTACAATGGACTTGCATGTTCAAAATAAATGAGAACCTGCTTGCTCAAAATACAATAAGAATTAAAACTAACAATTCAATTCATTTATATAGTTGAGTCTATAATCTTCTACTAAATATACATTTATCACATAAATACATTTATATATAATATTTAACATTATATTTAAATATATTTCAAGTTTCTAACAATTAAGGTCTTCTAAATTAATTTAGACAAATGGATAAAAATAATTAAATGATCAATTAATTTAATAAGAGGGTTTATTTAATTTAATTAAAATTAAACTTTAAAAATACCGAATTAAAATTAAATTATTTAGTTAAATTCTAATTCTAATTAAATATCAAATTAAAGTTCAATTCTAATTCCAAGAACATTTTAGGTTGAGATAATTTAATAAAAATCAAATTCTAATTAAATATCAAATTATAATTCAACTCTAATTACAATTGAATTAACATTTTAATTTAATATAAAATTTCTAAATAAAATAAAATTCATATAGGTTAAAGTTTATTATTTAAGTTAAAATCCAACATTAACAAAAAAATAAAAATTAAAAAGTGCCAATTTTAAATAAAATCTTAATTCGGATAAAATGGAAAATACAGGTCAAACACCTTTAGAAATTTTGCAATTTGACCCATTTTAAAATTATACATTCACTCCTCTTATTTCTCAAATTGTAGAGAAAGCAATTCCTTTAATAATTGCAAATTGACTACTTATTTTAAATTAAAAGCATGCCCTTTAATTTAAAATAAAAAAACTTGACCCCTGAACTAATTGCACAAAGAGGCCTACAATTTATCAAATGCAACAGAGGTCCTCGCCTACAATTAGCCACCCAATGCTTTGTGTACAATGTTTAGTTGACAATGTATTTGACAATCAATGTTAATTCAAATTCGAATGGGCGGGAAAGTGAGTGGTGATTAAAAACTGGCCACTCAACCTTCAACACGTGGCATAATGTCAAACTTGATGTCAAAAAACTTATACTTGTAGAGTATTTGACAATCAATGTTAATTCAAATTCGAATGGGCGGGAAAGTGTGTGGTGTCTAAAAACTGGCCAATCAGCCTTCCACATGTGGCACATTGTCAAACTTGTTGTAAAAAAAATTGTACTTGTAGCATGATTGAATCAAAAAAACCTACAAAAATATTCTTGGGTGATGCCGGCAATAGCCCTATACAGACATTGGCAACATCAGAAGGTGCCATCCCAATTTGCAGACGGCAGCGCCTGAATCTGCACTAACAAGGCACAACGACAGTGGAGACGGTGCCATTGTGATTAGCAATATCAGTTGCCTCAAAACATAAATCAGCGCCCACTACTAGGGGTGGACAAAATTCAACCGAACTCGTCAAAATCGCCCAAATCGAATCAACCCGACCAATTTGGGTCGACTTTTTTGTTGATTTTAAGTGAGTTCGATTTTTTTTGCTGTGTGGCGGGTTGGGTTGGGTTGGGTTGGATCGGATTATGGGTTAACCCTATGAAAATCGAATAAACCCGCCCGATCTGACATGCTTACTTTAAAAATAATAATAATAAACGAAAAAAATGTACTTTGTTCTTTATAGGCTCGACTAATAAGGATTGAATAAGATAATATATAATTTTATTTATTTGTTTACTTACTATTTAATCTTGTATATTCGAATTTAGTATAATAGAAATTGGATAACTTTAATTTTTGTTAACAAGTCGTCCCAAACCGACCAACTCAACCAAACTCGACCGATACTTGATTGAGTTGGGTTTCAACATTTACACGGGGGTTGGGTTGGGTTAGATTTTGATCAAACCGATCATGTTGGGTTGTGTTTGGGTTGAGGCAAAAATCGATCCAACCCAACCCATGCCCATCCCTACCAAACTCAGCAACCTTTGCCAAAGGTCGCAGCATTTATTGTCGCTAGCCTGTAGTGGCCTCTCGCTCTATTGACAGTAATACCTTTTTATTGTTAGGCTGTCTCTCGAGCGACAGTCTTATCGCTTGAGCGATATGCGATCGATAGAGAGTCATTTTTCGGCCCGTGCATCCTCTTTTCTATCCAATTTTGGATCACAACTTTCCATTCATTCAGAATTGGTTTTGAGATTCAAATATACCACGACGATCTACTCGATAAGTAGAACAAGTTAGTCTATTTATATTCATAATTTAACTATATGATCAAGTCCAAATATTTGGTTGAAAGTGATACAAAAGTCACTTTTATTCATTCTCTAAATTCCAACAATTGCTACACCACCTTGATCCTTTGTGCGTTAGAAACTTGTGGCAACCAAGTGGGTGTAGTTGTGGGTTGAACCTTCTCAGTTGGTGTTTGTTTGTTGGTTTTATTGAGCCTAATTTCAAGATTTCTCGGTGTTTCTGCTAATAAATAGTACCAGAGCTTGTGTTGTTGAGAAATCTGTGAAACAATTGGTGAAAAATTGGCTGGAACTTGACCATAAATGAAGCAGAAAACTGAACAGAATACTGTCCAGTTTGCAAAAATCTGGTTGGACCTGTTTGCTTGATTTCCGTCATCTACGTAGGCAAAAAGTGAAACGGAATCCATCCAATGAGTGATAGAGTGCAAAAGTTTATAGTTCGGTGAGTAAGCCGTCATAGTAGATAAAGTTTGGTGGGTGTTGAAACATTTAACTTATCCTTATCCAAATGTCTGATTTTCCTTCTCTTTTCAATTAAAATTTCCAAATCCCTAGCCTCATTTCNTCTCTTTTCAATTAAAATTTCCAAATCCCTAGCCTCATTTCACCGCCTCCTCTCCCTCTCTATTCAAGCCCCCTTTTTTCTCTGTCATCTTAGTTGTGGTAATGGGTGGGTAAGGCTATTGGGACTTCTCTATGGTATGGGGCTGGGAGGCTTGACTACAGAAGTGGGTTGAGAGGCTTGGCTGCAGTGATGGCATGGAGCTTGGTTGCAGCGACGACGGTAGTAGTGTGGGTTTTTCATATTTTGTTTGATAAACCCTTAATTTTACATTTTACCTACTATGCGGGGCATTATTCAAATTGGCCTTGTTGACCAAGCCTTTCAAGCTTTTTATAGAAGTGTCTATTTTATCCTTAATGATATAGGTTTTTATTTATTACGAGATATATCCCTTCTTTATGAATAATTTTAGAGATTAGTCTCTTATATTTAAATAAATTTATTTTTTGATAAATTCATATATAAAAATATTAGTTTAGACATCATAAATAATTAAAGGTTAGTATTTCTTCTTTCTTGGATTTTAACATATAATTTCATTCTAAGTTGTAGTATGTTAGAGTAGTCTTTAACATATCTTTTTAATTTTTTATCAAGCTCTTTAATTGATGTGTTTATATTTTCATCATGTTCTAACTTTTCTTCTA